TAACTCACTCTATAAGAATTTGTAAAACTAGCTTGAATGTAGACCTCAGTCTTAGGTTAAAAAAAACTTCAGGGCTTGTTTTCAGTCTATTCGCCCAAATTAATCGATAATTTAATCCGTCAGAGCTCTTAACTTCTGGCCTTCCCGGTTTTTAAGCTATGAACCTGGGCTTATAATCCAGGATGCAGAAAGTCAGAAAATTAATTCCGCTTTTGGTTCAATTAATGACACGGAATTACGCTCTCAAAATTTCAGCCTCCCAGCATTTGCAATTCTGGAGTTGAATTAACTAGAAAAATATGCACACATACACACATACATACACACAAACACACCATAATGCATTTTCTTTGGATATGCAATAGTGCATAAAAACTAACATATCGCACTTGTCGGAGCATTCTCGGCCTTGCGGACTCCGAATATCGTTCAGCCTGTCTTCTTTGCAGAAATCAAGTGAGTCATCCAGGTAAACAAGCTCATTTTGCAAAAGTGATGGCTGCTGCATTTTATGCAGATAACGCTCTGAACGACCGCCTGTTCGTTCCATGCGTGGTATCAAAGCGTTGCCTTCTGGAGATACGCTAACCTTCAACAGAAATTAACATTTGTAAAGACATAATTTTGAACAAAAATCTCTGGTGGAATCGATTCCACAGCTGACCACGTATGGCTAGCATATTTCAGCCTTCTGAAGCCACAAGCCATTTAAGCTTTACGCTGTTTTCAAAAAAAATCTAAAAAATGCTAATTGCTTCCAGCTACTTCCATTGGCAATTGCCTTATGATCTTTATTGCAAAATTATCTCGGAAACACCTTTGCGGCATGGAAATACTTCTTCCTCAGCGATACGGCAATTTCCTGAAGTTGTGGCACAACTTTCCAGCATGTTCGCAGTACACAGGAGCCACTGACACCATGACACTTGCATTCACGACGTGCACTGCTCGACACTGCTTTGCGTCCGACTCGATTATTGTGCAGATTCATCATCGAGCTGCAAAATCAGTAGTTGCTACCATTTGAAAAAGCCATCGGATTATTTTTTTCGTACTGCTTAGGTCGATGTGCTTTTGCCCAGCAGTCCTGGTTGGTGTTTTCGCCTCCCGGAGAAGATAACTTTTCGAAAAGCACTCAGACTGACTGATTTAAAAAATGATAAAATAACTATGGCATGAATAAGCGCCCAGGTGTGCACATATCAGTGGCCAAACGCTCTGGTGTGCATCCATGGTCAAGGACTTGGGTTCTCACATTTCCTGACGCTTGTGTTAAACAGCAATGCAGGGAAGCAGCTCGATAAGAAATTTTTAAAAAAATTTGTCTGTGCAGAAAAACCAAACCGAGCATCATCGGCATGATCCAAATCGGCTGCATCCATAAACTTGCGCCCAAAATTATTTGCATATTTAATATTGTCCGAGCATCCGGTCCATTTGAATTGTTTGTGGATTCGCTTCGGATATGAGCCACAGCTACAACTCGCTATCACACCCTGAGCGCATGCACGTGCCAAAGTTCGACTCACTGCTGCTGAGGACAGAGCAAACACATAAGCTGTTTCTTTGCTTCCAACTATAAACGGCAATTTTGGCAAAAAAAAGACGACTCTATCAAAAGTTGTAGGCAGAGCTGTTCCGCAGTTTTAGCTCATTGTTTAGAATGAGGAACAGACTGGCGTAGTTGCAGTCAGGACTGAAAGATTTGGTATAGCTGTGCAGTAATAAATTTTGAAATTTTTAGCAGAAGTCATATTCTAAAAGAAATGAGGCGTACAGAGTTTAATTTACGTTAAAAACGTGATTTTATACAAACTGATAAAAGAGGCTCAGCAGTATCTGGGTTAAATTGTAAGTCATTAAAAATTGCACAAGATAATGAGGAAAATAAAAGTGGTGGATAAGAGTCACGAAAGTAAGAAGCAGCAATGTGGTCCAGAATTATTTAAGCTTAGAGGCTATTTGCTGAGCTTGTTTTTGGAACCAGGGTTCTGCTTGTGCTAACAGTTTTTTTCGGGAAAAACTTGGAGCTTTTTTAAAATTTTAAGTGAAAAGAAGGTTGGCAACCTGCAGCAGATTAGTATTTTCAACGGGAAATTAAAGACTCGCTAAAACTTTTGATCAAACTGATTGCTTTCATTCGCAAAAGTGCATGTCCTGATGCTACGCATAACAGAGTAGGTGTGGTACAAGAGCTCAGGATGTACTGTTTAATTACAATAAAAAGTGCATAAAGCGCACTAAAGAATACATCTCAGTACACAGCATCAAATGTACCTTTAAGGTGGGCAATAGCAAAACCATTATGGCTAGCCGAGCAGTTCCATCGCTGATCCTGAAACTGATTCTGGCATTCATGTACAGCTGCCTTCAGACCCTTCACAACGTGCCCAATGGCAGTACGATGTCGTCCGCATGTGTCACGCTGTCGTTTTGTTAATCCTGGCAGCAGTCGGCATACGGCGCTATCTTGACGAAACACACTGCCCGGAGTTTCTGGCAAAAGCCTGGAATAAAGAACGCATCATTTTTGGAACAACAGTTCGTTACAGAATGAGATAAACTCTGTTCTTTTTAAAATTTGCACTTCGTTTTTGATTTTGTTCGTACCGGGAAGCGCTGCAAGCATAGGTGGATCCAGAGCGGACTCCTGGAGAGAAGGGGCGACGGATAGGGGGAGCGCGGAGGGAGGGGAAGGGGAGAGGAGGGAAAGGGGAGAGTGGGTCTCCTGGGAAGGGCAACGGAGGATGGGAAAAAAAGTCCCCTCCCACTCTGGGGCTGTGCAAAAACTAGGAAAAGAGTTGTAACACTGCTACTTTAGGTTCTAGTTTACTTCAGTTTTAGCTTTAAACCAGGAGTTTTGCAGCACTAGTGCCTGTGCCGAAAGACCCATCGCCCCCCATACGGATCCGCCTATGCGCGGGGGTGGACACATACTCCCGAATTTTCAGCTCTCTAGCTTCTATAGTTCTCGAATTGAAAGTAGGTGACAAAAAGTGCAGATACACAGACAGACAAACCACACATCACACGCACACACACACACACACACACACAGTTCCTCTTGCCAATATGCGTTTTGCTTACTGTCGCTGCGCTATTGCGCTGCACAGCGAAAACGCATGAAAGTCTCATAAAACACAATTTTGCATACTCAGCTTGGTTGTGCACGGGAAATGCATGTGAATCAGTTTTGGACGGATGCATATGTTTGCAGACAACTGATTGCTTGAGGAACCTTTGCTTGCATATTTCAGATTATACAAATTCATGTGATTATATAAGAGGCAGTCGCAGAGGAAACACTCATTGTAAACGACAGATTCAGCTCCGAACGGCCAGAAATGTGAATTGCTCGTGGAGAGAAGCGAGGAAAGGCGAGCAGAGGAAAAGGCAGGGGAAGGTGCTTTTGGCGGCACGCAGAGTGCGCGATGAATTCCAGCCGAGGAACGAGAAGGCTGAGAAACCAGGTGGGGGACGGTGCAAGCGATGGCGACCAGAAATTTGGCACGAATTTTGTGTGTGCCAACGGGGCCTTGCTTGCC